CGAGTGGACATGTAGACTAGGAATAAGTACGGTGATAACTACTCCCCCCTCGGGGTACTCCGGACGTGACGTCCTTCCAGCTGCTGAGTTGACAGTTGACCGCTACACGTTGTTTCCTGTCAGTCAGGTAACTGTTCATCCATGTAAGCATTCTTGCGGGGATGTCACGGGTTGACAGGTGCTGTAGAAGAATGCCATGGTCAACTTTGTCGAACGCTTTCGACATGTCGGCAAGTAGCACACGCACAACTGAAGTCTGTTTGTTGTCAAGGCTTGTGAACCAGGAATGGTATGCCTTCAGCAGTGCGGCAGTAGTAGAGGACTTAGGCATGTATGCAAACTGGTCTTTGATCCAGGGTTTCATTATGGGGAAGAATTTGTTGAGTACAAGTCTCTCCTGGACCTTGCCCTTGCCTGAGTGATAGTTGATGATGATTTACACCAACAAATATGAGATTTCAAGCAATAATTCATGTTTTGTCGTCTGGCTTGTCCCCCTCCCCCAATCTTCAAGCAGATCATACGATGGCAAGAGAATGGACACTCCAATGACGATACTAGATTCTGCCTTGCCACCGTATGATCTGCTTGGAGCACTGCACGAAAACTTAGATTTACGGATACCAGTATAGTAGGGTTGGGTAATCTTTACTTTGTTTTTTCAATAAACAACTTCTGAGCTTAACAATGGCAGTAAATAAAGGTCAAGTACGGCAATACCGGACTTAACAAGGGTTGTAAAGGAAATTACTGCACTTGACCTTTATTTACTACCATTATAAAGCCAGATACTGTGTGCATAGTAAACATTACCTGAATTTATAACCTTTGGTAAATCCAACTTTTCGTGTGGGTAGAGATTTTTTTTTTATTCCAACATGTAATCACCAGACGTGGTGACGACACACTCAAGTTTTTTCAACTTATATTAATGTCGCCACCAACACAGGGGACAAATACATGACAGGACAATACTCATTTACACCTGAGCTAAGTGAGGAAAGCCGTGTAAAGTGCCTTTCCCAATTGCAAGGGCACAAGATCGGTGGCAAGTCAGGACTCGAACCCGGGACTCTAAGTTCCGAGTCGCGCACTCTGCCACTACGCCACACGACCCCCCTCCCCAAACACACACATCCCCTTTCCACTTATCCACACACTCGTAATAGCGTGTTTAATTTTCTATGCTCTCAGGCAATTTTCCGTGCAGATTTTGTACCGAAACGACAGCAGCCACGAGCCCTACGTGCTGACCATCCCCGGCTGTGAGGAGTTCTGCCCGTTTGACGACTTCGTGGACCTGAACGATGAAGTCATCCTAGATCCTGGCAAATGGAGGCGCGCATGCGAACTTCCGCCTATCACCTGGCTTAGCGGTACGAAATCTGCAAATTTGCCACTTTTTTTGTGGTTTGTTTTCAGGATTTAATTTTATGATATCTCATCACGATAACACATAACCCAGCCATACAAAGTCGATCAGCTGTTATATCCGATATCGAAAGATATCAGATTCAGTAACATCAAACCCTTGTCCTGCTGACATTTTTACACAATATTTTGAAATAATTTGACGTCTTAATCAGGTCACGGACCCTTGACTTTTTGCCCTGTGGTTGCGTAGTTACTTCTACCTACATTGTTTACGTTTCTCTGTGGTGTGCTGCGTTGAACGCGAAATACCCAAGGATAGGGTTAATTTCAGCATCTGAGATTCAGATATGATAGAAATCATGTGTGGAGTGTTATCTCCAAGCAGATGTTGGGTAGGGGGTTGAACTTTTGAAAGTTTTTCAAAAGTCTAATTAGTTAAAATTTACAGAACCGTAACTATTTACTTCTACTTACTAATATCGGTATACGTGAATGGGTCGGGGTTAGGATCAGGCACGGTTCCAGAACGCGCGGTTCTGAATACGCATGGACTATCCATACCCGTGTCTGAGCATGGTTTTGGATATGAATGCACGGTTCTGGCTTCTGTGGCAGCTACCTACTCTTGCAATGTACATAGCTACCATTGACACGAGGCAGTCAGAAATCGTTACGATCCTAACATCTGCTTGGAGATTAAATGGCGCAGACATGTTCTTAGACAACTATAATGATAGACGTACGTAGTATTGGGTTCATGTAATTCTGATATTTTCCAGGTTTTCTGTACGGCGTGTTCGTGGCCAGCATCGTGCTGTCCGCGGTGCTGTACCTGATGCCTCATCGCGGGAAACCCGCCTCGTCAGGGGACAAAAAGACTCAGTAGTGACTCCAATGGGAAAAAAAAGGCAACGGAATATATATATATATAAGGAGGTGGTTAACAATTACGACTGCACATCCCCAGTGTCAAAGGTGAAACCCCCTTAATGTAAACAAAACCCGTCCGACCACGATTCAAAGTGGCAGAACAATCGCCCCAAGGTGACTAACTTCGACGCGGTAAACGCGGTAAACACGATCAACTAATATTATTTTGAAATTTGCTGTATAATGTACAAAAATTATCATGACTTTTAAAAGTCAGTTTTTTTTAACAGTTTGACGAGCACTTGGCCTCCTTCAGAGGTAAAAATGAACTACAGCCGGCTCACCCTGGAACGCAGTTACGTAATGCGGAGCAATTATACAAAATAAAACTTCACAATCCAAATCATACAGTTTAAAATCTAATATATTTCCATACCACACAGCAAATTTTACTCCTGGCTACCTTTCACATAACACCTAGGCAGGATTCAAGAATTTCGTCCGCACTACCTTTTATACCCGGGTCGCCAGTTAATACTGTGTTTTGGGAATTTATATACGTGCCCTGACTTCTGGTTACATTGTTAGGCCATGTTGATTTGATTATATGGATGACATCCGCGCGCGCATGAATTTTCAGCCGTTTCCAAAAAAAAAAGTTTTCAACCATACTGTAAATCGTACAAAACAGTTGCAAAATGAGCAAAAATATACCATAAGTTACAAAAAAATTAATAAAAACTATACCAATGTCGTAGAATGCCAAAATCAAACGAAAAAAGACGAAATTGTAAAGAAATGAACTTGAAGACTAGATTATTCGCCAAACCATATTCTGTGCCATTTGCTCAACCCTCATGACCACGTAGATTTCATAATGAAAAGAACTTTTTTTTTGTCAAACTTTTTTTTATTTCGTCACGCGCGCATCAGTTTTGGGGCTCCCGGACGGATGTCATCCATATAATCAAATCAACATGGCCTTATCAGCCGAAATGCGTACACCAGTGTTATTATAGTTTTCTTCTTATCATCGG